TTTCTTCACACACTTGCACAATTTTTTGTTTTAATGACTAAAAATCAGGCATACATTTTTTGCTTCAGAGTACTCCATACAAAAAATATAATAGTGTTAAATACGGTGAACGCAAAGGCCAAGCTATAGGTCTAGCATGCAATAATAGTTTTGTTATCGCATGTAATTATTGTCTAATTTCGCTCTTTTAAGACATACATTTCCCAGACAGCACAAAATACTAAAAGATAACGAAAAGAAGTCTTTTTTAAGTTGTCTTTCCGACAAAGCGAAAAGGTGTCTAAAAGATAACAAAAAGATATTGTTTTTAGATTGTCTTTTTAGTAAAACCAAAAGATGTCTATAAGACATATTTTAGTTTTATCGAAAAGACAACTTAAAAAAGACATCTTTTATGGTTGTCTTTTTTTATAAAGGTAAAAGATATCTTTTGGTACTAAAAGATATTTTTCGTATTGCCGAAAAGACAACATGAAAAAGATATCTTTCCGTTACTTTAATATTATTTTTTATCATTCGCGAGCAGTACGCGAGATCGCTACCAGATGGACGTGATTCAGTTTCTCGTATTTGAAAATCATATAGAACAAAATAAAAGGTACAGCATTATGAGAAATTTTATTCTTGTTCTAATGAACTCTAATAAAATTGTTTTGTAATCGAGTCCCCAAAGGGGATTATGATGGGACTATGATGAAATATGAATCTTGCACATAGGACATAGCAAACATTGTAAGAAATGAGATGTATATTATCATTCATGCAATTTTATTTCGTTTTGTGTAAAAACTAATTTAGGAATTCTTTTTCTTATCTTTTAATATTTTGTGTTGTCTAGAAAAATCTGCTTTCCAGATCAACTGAGATATCAAAGTTTAATAGTTTTGATTTTATACACATATAATTATCGTTTGATGAAGAAAAAAATAACCCATCGTATATTTTTATTGCAAAAAAACTCAGTCAATTTTTCGAGCGAAATCGCTGATTTATATTTGACAAGTCGCTATTTTCTCAATTATCAGTTTTTTTTTCTATTTATCAAATGATGACTGTATATAAAATAGAACATTATCAATCTTTTATTAGGTGTTGGAATTAATTCGTAGCGTTTTTAATGAAAGAATGTTATTTATTTCACATGAGCATTAAAAAATACATTAATGAAAGTACTTCCCATCGCTTATAAAACGCTACGAATTAATTCCAACACCTAATATATTTCAAATGACCTGGAAGGAGGATATCTCGCCTCGACGAGGCGGCATCATATTTGAAGAGAGATAGCAGGCGTAATTTTTTATCAAATTTAATAAAAAAAAAGGAACATTAATTACATTTAAATATAATAAAACGATATTCCAAAAAAATTTAAATATTGACTTTACTTTCACGCGCGTCAAACAAAAATTCCTAAAAGAATCGATTATTTTTCGCTCAAGAAATAACAATCCTCTCTTAAAAATTTTGAGATACTCTAATGAATTGATTAAAATAAATCACCGTGTATCTCTGAATACAATTGTTACATTTATTTATAAAAAAGCAAGGACATATTTTAAGAGGTTATCAAATAAAACGAAAACTTACAATATCGATAATATATATGTGATATACGACGATATCATATATGTGATAAGTGGTTTCCTTTGTGAATGTTGTTTTTTAGATAAAAATAAGAAAAACGTATATATACTTAATATGATAGAAATGTTACATATTAAAACACAAAAAAAGAGTTTAAATCTCTAAACGGTCACCGAATTTTTATCCTATCAGTGAGAAACGATAATGAAATCGACATCGATTTCACTGTCATTTCTCACTGGGTACATGTCAGTTCTCAATAACCTTCAAGAAAATTGCATAGACCGACAAAATTTAGGGGGATCTTGTGCTTTGAACTTTGAAAGATGTTTCCGTAGGATTTTGATGCGCTGAAAGTAACTACATTGTCGATTTTCTCTCATTATCCTCCGTTTTTTAAATAATTGCAAAAACATTTTCCGGAAGTAACTTTTTTATTAATTTTTTCCGACTAAACAAAAAATGATATCAGGGTCAGTTTTGCGGCATTTAACTTAGAAATGTTCCAACAATACTAAAAATATTTTTTCGATGCTTATAAATATGTTTTTTGCAACTGCAAACAAAAAACTCGTAAAAAACTGGAAAAATCGTAAAAAACTGGAAAAAATTGACAAATTTTGAAATATGAAACCAAATAATTCGAAAGAAAAAATCGTAAAAATATCTGACAATTTATATTTATAGCTGTATGTTTCTAGTTTAAATCCTTTTTTGAAGAACTAATTTCCGACCATTTGTTCAGAAGTTGTTGAATATAAAGCGCCAAAGCAGCTCGCACGTCACCTACAGTGCGCGATATCCTCTCGAATCTGACACATAGCCATCGAATACAGAAGCATGTTGTGTAATTTGTTTTAGTCACTGATTTCAAATTTGAAGTAAAAAATGTGTAATTCAAAATGGCGGATCCAATATGGAGAACAAAAATTTTTAAAAATCCGTACATGAAAATCGATATTTAGTACGATTTTATAAATCTTTGATTACTTATACTGTAATCATAATTGTTGATTTGAAAATAGCAGCTCCGATGAATAATAAGTGAATATACACGGAATGGATTTTAGCGTTATCTATCCTGCATTACGTGGAGATATCACCTTATTATAATAAGGGTAACGCTAAAAATCATTGTTCCATGATATATCCTCTCTATCCATGATAGTCGCTTATTTTAACATTATATTTCGTTAATTTCCTTAACCTTATTTCACAAAGATTTCGTACTTCCTTTGGCCAATAAACTACTAGAAATATTGGAATCTTTTTGATAAGATGATCGGCATCGTGATTGTTGCATCCCCAGATATAACCACATATAATCGAACAATCGCCATTGAAAATAATGATTTGAAATAAATCAAAACGCGTCCGGACATATTGTCACGAATTAAATAATTATTATTACAATCGAATCTTCGTAACTCGTCAGGACCTTCATAAAAGTAAAGTCCGTCCCTATCCCCACTTTTTCAATGACGCTTGCACAAAGTTCCTCTTTCCACGAAACAGCACCACCACAATGCAATATAACTTTTACGACATATCCTTAATATCAAAACAAGCTGTGCATCTGCAATTCAAATGGAAAGCACCATCTGTTGAATTGTTTATGTTTCATTCTATTATGAACTATGAACATTCGTGTAATCGGATCTTAAACGAGGAGCACAGACTCTTGCATAATGCACAACACATAAGAAAATAATCCAATCAAAGTCTTTTATTTCCTTCCTTTCCGCGAAATAAAAGACTCTGATTGGTTGATTTTCTTATGTCTCATGTTTTATGCATTATGTAAAAGTTTATGCTTCCTGTTTTATTGGTTGTGATTATTTTCACATGCCATGCGCATGCACTAGCATAGGAGAAGTAGTACCGCGCTCCTACTTCTCCATATATTTGTTTATTTTTTTTTTATAATATTGAGAAGTCTATATTAACTTCATTTTTGTTAAGAAACACATAGATTTTCATAAAAGCTCAATCGTATTTTTAAAGGATATAATACTCCTTTAAAGAAAATCGATTATTGTCTTTTAAAACGAATATCGTCGAAACGAAATGTCGAAACTATAAGAGATAGAAAAATTTATGTTTGAAGGAAAAGTTGAATAATTTTAAGTGTACTTAATAATTATAATTTTAAACTTTTTAAATCTTTTTTTATAAATAAAAGTTTATTATTTAAATAAATTTTTTAAATTATTATTGTAAAGTTTTCGAATCCTTCATTTTTTATTCTAAATATTTTTTTATCTCTTTTTTTATCTCTATAGCTACGACAGTATTCGTTTCCAAAAAAAAAAAACGATTTTTCTTCAAAGGAATGTTGCACCTCTTAAAAATGTAATGGGACCTAAAAAAATACACGTCCCTTATTTTTGTCTAGAAAACAACGTATCAAAGCTTATAATCGGAGAGGGGAGATCACTTCCATGAGTATCCTTATAAGAAAAATTTTTTAACTAATTATAATTATAATTATCAATGCCAATTATATATCAGTATATTGAAAATAATATTTAACTAAATCTTAAAAAAACTTAAATCTTAACTTATTTTTCCAAGTGTATTTTTAAATGTATTTTTAAACTCTGAAATGTATATATTGATACTAAATTTATGCTTCCAAAATATCGCATTATAAAGTAATAATGAATCATAGTATAAAGGTAATACAAAATTGTAATTCTCACGATGCCTAATTGTAATATAATGGCATAAAATATTAATGACGTGATGATTTAAAACGTCGGTCTCACGTCAGTAATCGCAGTAACTGGACAGGATCTAAATCTTCTACTTCATAATTCACTGTCTATTCTCGAAACAGAGGAAGATGAAATAAACACCATAGATGAGCTTCCATTTGTTGTCGTATCTGATGCTATCTCTTAAATCATGGAATTAATTAATATGCTAATTGAGGAATTATTCACATCAGTTGTGTAGTACCATTTTCGCAGAAATATAAAGAAATGCAAAGAAACTATATCATAAAATACAATTAGTAACAATTATTAAACACTGATCCAATTAGATTTCCGCTTCTCCAGTACTTGAGTCTCTCTCTCTCTCTCTCTCTCTCTCTCTCTCTCTCTCTCTCTCTCTCTCCTCCCTCTCTCTCTCCCTCCTTCTCTCTCCTCTTCCAACAATAGACGATACCGAGTGTTCATTATCAACACACTGTAGATTCCATAAACTTCTATTACTAGACCGCTAATTCCCTACTTTTCCTTCTGTAAAAGTATTGTGTGCGCGCAGTGAATGCGCAGAATAAGATATTGTCACATACATAGAAAAGAGATGCCAATAAGTCAACTGATCTAACGTTTTTGCGATTAGTTTTAAAGTATATAGAAAGTATGCAAATGTACTTATTCTGCGCACATACATTTTGACAACAGTTAAAGGGACGAGTTAGCGGTCTAGTGTTATAATAGAAGTCTGTGGTGGGATCTTCCATATGTCTTCGCAGAGAGGCTTGAAAGAGGCAAGACGAATCGCAGACTCGTTAGGCTTCCTGAGGCGCCGATAGCAATTGGAGAGGGGCGCCTATATAAATGATACCACTCTCACTCCTTGTCGACCAGTTCTCAGGGTGCGTTGCTCCCACGTGCTTTCTACTCAGTGTTGCTCTATTTTCGTTTCTTTCGTTTCTTTCTTTTCCACGTCTTCTCTCGAAAAGACCGAAATCAAGATCTTTCCCAACAATCAAGCCAAAATTCAAGCAACAATGAGCACCAACATCCTCGTCCGGATTTGTGGGCCGAAGCTTTTGCGCACCGCGATGACCGAGCAAAAATCTTGGATCACTGTCAGCAGGTGTCTTAGGTTTGTAGAGACCAAGATTGTCAGGATCTTCAGATTTTTAAGCGACTAATTAAATAATTAAGATGGAGAATCTTCATACTGTATACTAATATGCATTTATTAAATCTTCAATCGTATATTATTCAAAACGTAACAAATATGTATATTTTGAAATAAAAATACTATATAAAAGCAGTGTGTACAGTTTGAAACAATTAACAGATTCACCATTATAATCTTTCAATGTCTTCCAATAATTTTAACATATATCCTTCGAATTTAATTGTAACCTTATAATAACAATCATTATTTACATGGAATCACATGATGCTCGATTTCTTGAATGATAAACATACATACATACATGTATGTTATGCTTGCTTTGATGCATACAGACTGACAGTCTGACAAATAATTATGAAATTAGCAATTATTTCTTTTGATTGGTGCATGCAAAGAAATAAACTATGAAGTAATCCATAAATAAATATAAAAATCATGTATACATGCAGCGTTCAATGCGTGAACGAATTCTAGCATATAAATAGGCATGACTGTTATCATTTAAAAAATCAAGTATCGTGCGATTCAATCTTTATATATTTTTTAAAATAATTTCTAAATATATTTTTATACAACGTATAAAATTTGGAATATTTTTCTATCTTTCATTTCTAAAGTTTATATTTTCAAATTGAAATTCTTGTTGAATCGATATCAAAAAAAGTGCTTAGCTACATACTTCAATTGATGTTTTAACTTAATTCTTGCTTGATATTTAAGTTTTAGTCTTTTTTTGCTACATTTTTGTGGTTTTTCAAATAAAAACGTTGCTTATAAATTGCAACCTTGCAACCAACGCACTAAATCATTAGATATTTGAAATAAGAGATAAAATGTTTCTAGTCTTTAAATTATGTATGTACAATAGTGCGCAATCGTAAAGCTATTTACTTTAGATAATAGCTGCTTTAAATATAGCATGAAAAACAAAAAAAGCTAATATCAACAACTTTACATTTAATAACCTGATATTGTGGCACATTATTAGTATATGCTATTATTACTGTTAAAACAGCAGTTATTGCAATGGGCGATTTTATGAAATTAATGATTCCAGGTTATATAAAATATAGCCAAAATTAAGATCAGTAGTTGCGAAGCTTTCGCTTCATTTTAAAACAGATTTCTGACGAACACGAGTAAAAGAATATGATTTAACGTTAATTTAATATATAATATTAGGTGTTGGAATTAATTCGTAGCGTTTTACAAGTGATGGGAAGTACTTTCATTAATGTATTTTTTAATGCTCATGTGAAATAAATAACATTCTTTCATTAAAAAACGCTACGAATTAATTCCAACACCTAATAAATAATACGTTTGTTTATATATGATAATTTTTTATAACCAGAATATTAATCTAAGTAAAATAAAAAAAATATGTAGAAATTATATAAATAATAAAAATAATCTGACGAAGACAACGTGAATAATAAGTAAAAAAAATGTTTGATTAATGTAATTATTAAAATAATATTAAATTAGAATTAATATGTCTGATAATAAGAGGTATAAATTTAATATACAAATCCCTGGTGAAAACTTTTTTCAGAATTTTTCATATAATTTTTCAGAATTTCTATATAATTTTTTAGAAATTTTATATAAGTTTATGACTTTCTCACATTTTTTTATACGAATTAGAACATTTTTCAGAAAATCTACATCTTTTCTCAGAATTTTATATATATATTAATTATGAAATATCATAAGATTTCTAAGATTTTTTGAAAATATAATTTCTGATGAAATGTTATAAAATTTAAAAAATTTAAAAATATTTTTTAAAAATTATGGGATGAGAAATTTCAGAATATTTCAGAATTCACTTATATGAAAAATTCTGAGAGAAGATGTAAACTTTCCGAATATTTCTGAGTATTTCTGAAAAATATTCCAATTCGTATAAAAATTATTAGAAAAATTTTCGCCAGAGATCTATAAATCTAACAAAAGTAATGTATACTTACATTTAAATTAATAAATAACACATAAATAAACGTGTTATTTATTAATTTAAATATATTTGGGTTATTTACGTGTACCGTCATGTGAATTTCAATATTTCTTGCGCACATTTCAAGAAAGTACGCAAGAATTCTTTCAATGACATTCTTTGTATCAAAACCTCAGTAGATATTGATTTGAAATGTATACAACTTTAAAGGAAAAAGTCTCATCGAGGTTGTTTACATGCAACGCGCATCTGAATTATTTATAATCTCGCCTCTATTCACACATATTATGTATTATAATATTGTGAGAGATAACATATTGTATCATTTTTAAGGTAATTTAACATCGATTGAAACAAAACATTACCTTCATAGCAAAAGGTTATATTCATAATAGAGTCACAATCAGAAAAAAATGTAATGTCACTATGTGAGATTATTATAAAATAACATATGTTATAAAGACATTCGTACATCATCGTAACATTGCTATGACATCACATTTGTGATAAAGCGGACATTTGCACATCATCATGACGTAACCATGATTATTGTGATGTAACTGTTTTTTTGCTATGAGGATAATGTCCCCATAGACTTTATATTAAGGCTTCCTTAAATTTATCTTCAGATGCTCCAAGAATTATTTTATTGGCTATTGAACATCTAAAGATAAATTTAAAGAAGCGCCTTAAATATAAAGTCTATGAATACAGGCATAAAATTAATTTACGCTATTGTAATGCATTATGCATTCGATTAAAAAATAGCTTCTCAAAGTCGATACTTGTAATGGTATTCATAACAAAATCTTGAATAATTTTTTGATATTTAAATGTGAAAGCTAGAACAAAAGAAATTAAATGTTTCGCAGCAATTAAACGGATTATAAATTTCAAATAAATCTTATTTATTCCCAATATAATAATGCTTGTTCTATGTACATGAGAGACGCTTGATCAAGAAATCATTTACACACACAAACAAGCAGGCAGACACATACACACACATACACACACACACCACACAAAATGAATGCAAATTAGTAAAGGCAATGAAATAAGTAACAAACAAACTTACCAAAGAATATAAAATATCGTCAAGAAAAATTAAATAAAAGAGAATGAAACACAAATAAAATTAAAAAAATAAAATAATAATCGCTGTTACTATATTGTCGATATACTCGAATATTTATTGTTTATTTTAATATAAGACAAATTAAATTAAGATCTATACTTGAATATTAACGATAAAAGCGTAAATTAGACAGCATTAATACAAAATTGTCTTGTGATATTAGAAATCTTAAAAATAAATTAAAGATTACAATATACTCGGAAACAAAAACATATCCTATATATATATATAACCGAATATAGATTAAATATAAAGGTGCAAATATATTTAAGATAACACAACGTAAAGTTTTATTAGTTACAATAACATTTTGTTCACTAATATATTCTCGATAAAAAATTTTTATAAATAAATATGCATAAATATGTATAAACATACATAAATATTCATAAACATATATAATCGTATATGAAATATGTCCATACAGGTTCATACATTCTTTTTTCTTTTGTAAAATTACTTTTTAGTGTAATACAAATAATAATAGTAATGTGAAAACATTAAAAATAATTAAAAGGGTAATTTTTATACTATTTGTTCTAGAAAAAAAATCAAGTTTGAAGAAATGTAAAAAAATTACTTATATATAATTATATATAAAATTATGCATAATTTGTGTATGAACATTTTTTTATATTTTTCCAAATTTGTTTTCCCCTAAAACAATGCAAAAATTATCCCTTTAATTATTTTTTATATTTTTTCACATTACTATTAGGTGTTGGAATTAATTCGTAGCGTTTTTAATGAAAGAATGTTATTTATTTCACATGAGCATTAAAAAATACATTAATGAAAGTACTTCCCATCACTTGTAAAACGCTACGAATTAATTCCAACACCTAATATTATTATTTCTATTACACTAAAAAGTAATTTTACAAAAGAAAGGAATATGTATGAATATATTTCGTATATGATTGTACATGTTTATGAATACTTATATATGTTTATACATATTTATACATATTCATGCATGAAAAATTTTTTACCAGGATCGTTTTATATCAATATTAATAATAGAACCATTTAGAACTATTTTTTTTTAAACTCTGTGTGTGTGTGTCATCTTTTAAATCTTTCAAAGTAATAATTTGTGAAATTTGAAAAATTTTATTCTCGAAAGAGGCAATACAAAGAAGAGAAAATAATTATGTTTTTCGAAGAAATGTTTTCAAACTGATAATTTCGAAAGAAGAATAATGTCGATTCGTATCGCGCTGTACGAACTATAAATGTTCGGAAAATACCGCGATAACAAACCGAATGTTTGATAAGGGATTACGTCAGTAGGTCTTTTATCATTATTTTTCTATCGTCAATGAGATGCTTTTCTTCGTTCACATCGAAAGATGATATTTCATTTTGTATTAGTTAAAAAGAGCATGATCAGATTTTATTACGAATTCCAGTTGGATTCGTTTGTGTTGCATCTATGTATAAAGGAGGTCAAGGATGGCTTCGATCAAAATAAGCTTCCGCGCCTTCTTTCACTTTATACATATATTTTGATTATCTCTTTTCCGTTTCATCCGTTCGTCCCCATTGTAAATTTTTATAAATGATGATTAACTGTCACAAAAATCAATAAATTATACGTTTAATTTCAACTGCTCATATTGCATGAATTCGTTAAAATGCACGAAGTATATAATGCAAATAAAAATTTAGTTACAAATCTCTCACGAAATTTTTTACGCAATGAACCCGTTTTTTTCCTTGAAGTGAAATCGCGACTATTCAGTTATTATATCTAACATAATGAAATATTATATTTAACATAATTATTACTCATAACATATTATTATACAATAAAATATTTTAATTTGAGAGAATTATTGTAAAATGTTGTAATTATAG